CTGTATGAATGTGATCTAAAGATGTGATTAGTCATGGATCTAGTAGAGATCTGTATGGATGAGACGCAGGTCGTTGTAAAGAGCTTTGATGTTGAGACAGAAAACAGCTGCATCGGTGAAGTCCATTTCAATTACAAACGACTGAACGTGTTTGTTTCTAGAACAATAGCTGATCAGAGCGAAGCACGCCGGGTGTTTGTTGCTGTTCATCCCGGTGCTGCTGCAGGTCTCGTCTTCAACAGCAGGTGGAGCTAAAGAGAAAACTGCAGCTGCGGAGCAGAGAGCGCAGCCAGAACCGGAGCCTTACGGTAGAAGAAGAATCCACCGGATCCTCCAGAAACAGCAACTGAAACGGTTTTTATCGGAACAAAGTGGTGACAAAACGAGGCGTCTAGTTCGAGCCCGAAGCTGCATCGAGTCACGACCGTCGTGTCCGTGACTCGTGCGAGTCGTTCTGTTCAGGTTTGATGACTTCGGTGAAGGAAGGTGATTAAAAAGATTTAGATTCACTACAAGAACAAACGATTCAGAACACGAGTGGAAGTGGATCAGAACTTTGCTCTGAGGGTGGATCACATTTTTACCGTACGGTTCAGTTTGAACAACGTTCGCTGGTCGGCTTTAAAATAAAATCTGTCAGCAGTCGATTAGACTCAACATCTGAGTGTTGGTCCGGGTGACCGCGGTGAATCCAATTAATTTTATTCTTTAAGCCGACAGTTAACGCTCAGAGAGCAGATCAAAACATTTTCTAGTAAAGTAAGACCCGAAGAACCACGGAGCAACAGAACCAACACTTCCAGTTCTACGTTCTAGATCCTTCAGAACCTGAACAAGATGTTTTCTAAGAACTACAGTAAAAACCAGAACATCCTGGAGTTTCTGGGCCCGGTTCAGAACCTGAGGTCAGCTGACTACTTCTGGCACCAAGGACCGGTTCTGGGACGTTCTCGTTGGTTGGTTGAATCTGGTTCCACATTACAACCAAAAGACCAAAACCTGATCCCTAAGCCGGGTCTGGAGGACTAC